GCTAATCGTCTTTTACACACTGGCAGAGGAGTCAATAACTCACCTTATATCCGCGCTAAGCAGCGCTTTGAAGCCCCTTGCAATTTCCCTCCCAACGGCGGATAAAATAATCACGACACATTTCTTCACGTTTTAGAGCCAACAGGTACTCCACCTTTACTTTCTTACGATGGCTGTGTGGCTCCAAATTGTCGCATTGCATGGAGGGATTCAATACATAGGCAAGACTTCCACTCTTTTTGTTGCATCCACTCTGCTCGCTTTGGTAGCAATTCAGTCCAAATCTCCTTAAAGGTCCACTCAAATTGAGGGTGACGTTCAATGTAATGTATTTGAGTAGGGAATATCTTGCCTCATGCCTACCGACTCATTCCATTTTTGCTGTGCGACCATGACGCTTGACGCTTAATGCCTCCTCTCATCAACTTCAGATACTAGCATTCATTAACATGCTAAAATGTTACTTGCAGTCATTATGTGAAGGCCACATTCCATTTTACCTGGTTGTGGCCAAAACAGTCTTGCACTTTGCAAGAACACATTGGCTACTTTAAACGACAATATCTTTGGTTTTGGTAGCACATTTCTACACATCATGTCCGTTGCTTACGTTATAGTTGGGGGCATACGCTCCTCTCATCATAATGATGCAGCTTATGCGACAATAATTAGTTTACTCGAGAAAGAAAAGTTGCTCTTTTGTGCCCATCTTGTTCAATGATACTGCTGTTTCTCTTCTGTCAAACCCGAAGAAAACGATTATTGTGAAAAAACTGGTGGTCTTTTAGGTGACTTACTTATTGCGCAGCAGGTAGTAGAGTGCAAATTAGTACTTAAGCCAAATCACTGAAAGACAGGCTTTGCCAATCCATAGTTAGGCTGCATTACATCGCTTTGTGAAATCCAAATAACTAAGTGGTTTGCACGTATCAAGTCAAATTTAATTTTTAGTAGTTCTTGGTATGCGAGGACCAACTAAGAAAATGTGGGTCAGCTTTTAGCATCTGTTTCAATCCAAAACCCAAACTTGGTGTT